CCAGGAGTTGGAGGTTGCTGTGAGCTGTAATGCCATGGCACTCTACCCAGGGGGATAGCTTGAGGCTCTGTCTCAAAAAAAAAAAAGTTAAATTTTGATCTAGTAGTAGCATTACATCTCTCCAAGAGAGGTCAAAGCTTTGTCCTAACCCCTGGAGAACATCTGTATACCTATCTGAGTCATCAGAAAACTTGCCTAAGTCAACCTTAATTTGTTTAAATCTGCCAGAGAAAACCGAGTGTATACTTACGCACTTTCCCTTTCACCATCCGCAGTCTCAACCAAGGGACACAAAGAAGAATATGGCTGCCTTCTAGAAGTCCCAGTAGGACCAGAAAAAACTCTTGGGTCAGCCTCCTTCCTTGGGTTTTCTGAATGCATGGAGGAAGTTGTGGGAAATGGAGATGGAGATGGTGGGTTTGAACTAAGTGGTGACAGCGTTTCTTACGGGAATCCCTGACCATTTGGGAAAGTTACTACAGCCAGGAGAGCTGAATCTATCTGATGGTTTTACATGGTTGTTGTTCATATTTTTAAGAAGATTTTCTTTTTTTTTACATCATAGGTGGAGCTATATACCTTTCTGGAATTGACATGATACATGGCACACCTGTACTAGACATAAAGCCCTACATAGCTGATTACGACTCACCGCAAAATTTGATGGAATCTTCAGGGGATGTTAATTTGCAGAATAACCAGCATAAACCAAAAACTGTGTCCTGGTCTGATGGCAAAACTAATAATTGTGATCAGCGGCAGCTATCGGGATTCAATGAGCCACATCCCCACCACAGCACTAAGGAGAAGCCTAAACGATCTGAGGACAGAACTTCAGAAGACAACAGTGTGAAACACAGCAACACGGCAAAAACCCAGTGCACCTTGCCCACACACAGGGACAGAGCAGTGGGTTTGGGCTTGGCGTCAAGCAGTGATGAGAGGCCAAGTGTGGCAGAAGAGCACATCAGCCCCCATTGCCTGGAGAAGAGCTCAGTGGAAGGAACAGATGAAAGGCTAAGGAGTGTGGAAGGGGCAGTGGTCCCCCCGGAAGGCAGTGCAGAGACACAGCCTGCGGCGCCTCACTCTCCTGCCGGGACAGCTGACGGGGGCCCTGGCAGTGTGGTTCCGGCCTGGGTGAGACAGGCCCCTGTGGCCACATTAGAAGTACGGTTTACTCCTCACGCCGAGATGGACCTCGGGCAGCTCAGTTCAGGAGGTGAAACAGGTACCTTCCGTTTCATGGTTCTGAGTGAGGGATGAACTTTTACTGTGAGATTTAGCCACGCATGGTCTTTCTGAGGGCAGTTATGTGGAGTATTTGTCAGTATGACTGGTTTTTAAGAAACATAGGAGTGTAAGTTAATATTTGGGCATCACCGTCAAATGACTTTTGTTTGACAACTATAGATGCTTAGTAAAGTGTTTTCAGAGAACAGTGCAGCCTCATGGCCCATGATTTATAGCCCCTTGCCTGCCAATTACAGTAGTTCTTGGAGTTTCCAAACATTTAGAAACTTAATTTTGCTTGTTCTATACTTTTTTTTTTTGGCCAGGGCTGGGTTTGAACCCACCACCTCTGGTATATGGGGCTGGCACCCTACTCCTTGAGCCACAGGTGCCACCCTGTTCTATACTTTTACACATTAAGTTTTCTCATCTGCTTTGCTCTCTGACTAGAGAAATGTTGTATTTTACTCCAACAGTCAGCTTCTGGCACAGGGGACTCTAGGAGCCCAGAGTAAGAGGAGGAGAACCACTGAGCACAGGACTGTCCCCACAAAGTCCCAGCACCAGAGACCTGTATTTTACTGCAGAAGAGAGGCCACAGGGCTCTTACTGGGAGCCTGTGTACCTTAACACACGGTTCCTAACGAATCTTTGGTTTCCCCAGCCTGGCAGATCCGAGGCAGCAATCTAAAATGAAGGAAGGGGCTGTTGAGAGATTGGTACAGTGATGCCAGTGAGAAGTAGCCAGTTACCAAGGAGATCTCAAAAAAGTAGAAAGCTGTTCTTTGTGTTACAATTCAGTAAACAGTCAACATAGCCATATAAAGAGGGAAATTCATTTATTCTACAGTTCACTGAGCTTCTGCTTGGTAGCAGATACTGGTCTAGGTCCTTGGCATCAAACAGATCAAAAAGGTAATAAGGGTTATGGAAAAATTTAAGAGAATGAGGCTCAGGTGTTATAAGTTTAAATAGGTGGCCAGAGGAAGTCTTGTTCAGAAGACACATGTGGCAAAGGCTGAAGAGGTGAAGGAGTGAGCCAGCCTGTGCAGGGAAAGGGCATGCCAGCCTGACGGACAGCATTGCACAGCCCCAAGCCAGAGGGCACATGCTATGTTCAAGGCTATATGGCCAGAGTAGATTGGGGAAGGGCAGAGTGGGAAGGAGGTAGGGAGGCTACAAGAAGGGGATAAAGTGACGCAGGGTTTTATAGGTCATTGTAAGAACTTGAATTTTAATCTTGGAAGATGGTGGAACTTGACATCACTATCTCTAGAGAGCAGGGGCCCTCCCTGCCATCAGATCACTGCCTGGAGTGGGCTATGGTGATTTCTGGGATGTCACATCTCAGTTATGTGTAAAAGTAGGCTGGATTCCTTATTCAGACAATGAAGCTTTTCTTTCTATATCAGAACATAGAGGTTTAAACAATCATGACATTAGATTTTCCCGTTTTAAAGGAAGGAGAGAACAAAGAGGATAGGAAGGCGTTTGGCTCTGACACTGTAATCTGAAGGAAGTCCTCCTCATGGGAGATACAGATCTAAAAGTTGGGGCTGGAGGCAAATGCCACACATCACTCTGGAGATTTCCTCATTCCTTCTTGTCAGGGCCACAGCTGGTCTATACGTTGTCTTTTGCAAACAAAGAAAAGGCAACCCATCTGGGTGGAGGTGGCTACCTGCCAGGGCTCAGGCCCTGGTTTTAGCCCCGATAATGCCAGCTTAGTGACCTGTACCACACTGTTCTGTTACATGAGGGATCTAGCTCAGGGATCCCACAGGTTCTGCATTATGGTGAGTTGTATAATTATTTCACTGTATATTACAATATAGTAATAATAAAAATAAAGTACACAGTAAATGTAATGTGCTTGTATTATCCCAGAATCACTCCCTCACCCCTGTCTGTGGAAAAATTATTTTTCATGAAACCAGTGCTTGGTGCCAAAAAGGTTGGGGACTGCTGAGAGTGGCTGGTTCCCTACTGATGACATTGAACTTTCTCAGTGTATCTAATTCATTTTTGTTTCTTTCATGTTCTGTTCCTTAGGGATGTGGTGGTACTTGTAACTGTGGGGCTGTGACACCCTGGTCTCTGGTCTTCCTTGCCTTTAGAGTTAGTGTGCTGGACATGTGTGAGTTTAGCTCTCCTTCTTGTGGCTTTCTGAGAATAGGGACTGTCATGCATTTCCTTGTCTCTGTTCTGAGAAGAAAATAACAAGGAATTCAATTCTACGTTGGATAAGTAACATTTTGGTTAACGGAAAATAAAAGCTTATCTCACCTAGTTAGGAGACTAAGGAAAAATACCACTGTGATTTTTTTGTTCAGTAAAATAAAAATTTGGGGGTACCCAAGTTAAATTTAGTGATGATAATTACTATTTGGAGGTGACCTTCTCTGTATTGATCATTGATCAAATAGATTTCTAAATTCTGTTCAAGTGATGTTTAAGAACCAATCAAATTCCATATTGAAGTTTGTTGTAATGAAATTTAACCAACATTAAGCTGTGTTCTTCTCATTGCAGATGTTGGTCAGGCGTCATTTAAATATCTTCGATCAGCAGAGGAAGCAAAGCGTGCCATTGAGGCCGTGCTGTCAGCTGATCCTCGCTCTGTGTACCGCCGGAAGCTCTGCCAGGACCGCCTGTTCTACTTTACTGTAGACATAGCGCATGTCACTTGCTGGTTTGGTGATGGCTTTGCAGAGGTTCTAAGGATCAAGCCAGCTTCTGGGTCTTTTCAAGTGACTTGACTCTGTGGAGTCCTCGGAGCTTCCATCATGTCTTTAGACAGGCTTGTTGGGGCTTTTGGATTTTCTGTATAAGCTAATGATGTGCAGCACTTGGTAATCTCACTGCTTTGATTAATTTGGGCTGTTCCAAATATTTATTTGAAAAAGATGTATTTTAATAAATTTAACTGAGATATATTGATATTAAAGAAATCCACAGCCAGGCTCAGCACCCATAGCACAGTGGTTACAGCGTCAACCACATACACCTAGGCTGCTGGGTTTGAACCCGGCCTGGGCCAGCTAAACAACAATGACAATTGCAACAACAACAACAAAAATAGTCAAGTGTTGTGTTGGATGCCTGTAGTCCTAGCTACTTGAGAGGCTGAGGCAAGAGAATCGCTTAAGCCCAAGAGTTTGAGGTTGTTGTGAGCTGTGATGCCACAGACTGAGGGTGAGATAGTGACACTCTGTCTCAAAAAAAAAAAAAAAAAAAATCCATAGGCAGTACTGTCTTGATTTCTGAAAGAAGCTGATTGTTCTTGGCACACTTGATAAAATTAGGCGGAAATCATTCTAGCAGAGACTTTCAAGTTGAGGGGATCTGATCAACAGTTCACATTGGTTTCCTGTCTGGAAAAGCGTGACCTCTCTATTACATTGTAAGTCAAAATGAGTTTTACTATATCTTAGAAAACTAACAAATAAAAATCAGATATCTTCAGAGATTAAACCGTTACGTTTCAGAGACCTTGTGGTACATACATGTGTATGTATAATCTGATTGTAAAACAAAGACTCTCTGAGATTTCTCTAGATGTCTTTGTATTAGAGAAGAAAATCTTCCCTAAAAGTTTAAGAAGATGCTCACGCCAGTGTTGCTAGCACTCTGGGCAGCCAGGGTGGGTGGATCCCTTCAGCTCAAGAGTTTGAGACCAGCCTGAACAAGAGCAAGACCTTGTCTCTACTCAAAATAGAAAAACGAGCCAGATGTGGTAGCAGGCACCTAAAGTCCAGTGACTTGGGAGGCTGAGGCAAGAGGATCTCTTGAGCCCAAGAGTTTGAGGTTGCTGTGAACTATGATGATGCCAAGGCACTGTACTCAAGGAGACAGAGTCTCACTCTGTCAAAAGAAAAAAGTTTAAGAAAATAATTACTGTTTTATTTACTCTGTGACTATCAAGAACTTACTATGAGTTAGGTTTTAATGATAAAATGAGAAGAACAATTTGTAGTTCTTGTTGCAAATCATGGTTAGTGGAAGAAGTAAGATATAAGCAAAATACTGTATTACAGAGGTCCCGTGCACCCTTCACCCAATTTCTTCCAATGGTTACATCTTACATAACTGGAGTGTGATATTAAAAGTAGGAAACAAACATTCGTGCAATCTACCCTTTAGTTTGATTTTTATTTCTTTTTAAAAGTTATTTTGAAGCTGAATCAGGGCTTGAAACACAAAATGACAATGTTTAACATGTAACCATGACTTGGAGTGAGTTGTTTGGGGCTTTATTATACATGCTCAGGATTTTAGAGCTAAAAAGGATATTAAATATAACCCAGGTCAGTTTTTTGCTAGTTCCCGAGTCTACTCAGTATCCCCAGCATTTGGCTTTCCAGGCCCTGCCAAAACACCCTCAGAGGGCCTTCCTCTCTGACCTGTGCAACTCATGCTGTATGGGTAGGCTCATTATTGCAATGTTCTTCCTGCGTGTGAGATAACTGCTCTCATAACCCCACCCTCAAGTGGTGCCGCTCAGTGAGGTTGGCCACCCTCCCAAGTTAGCCTGTCAGAACACCCCACCCCTCAGTCTTCGCTAGGCTGAGTACCCCCATGTTCTCCAACTGTCTCTTCTTACATGATCTCAAGCCTCTCCTCACCCCCGTGAGTCCCTATGTGAGTGTTCGTACTTCAGGTGTCCTTGTGAGGAAACTGGATCTCTAGTTCATGAACTTCCATCTCTCAGAAATAGTTTGAAGCACAAATTTGAAACAAGCTGTCTCTTCCTTTTTGTCTTGAAAACTTTTGTCATTAATTTATTCTCATCGTCTACTGTTTTTATTCTTCCACCCAAGCTTATTCCACAAACACAGAATTAAATATACTTGATTTATAGAACAAAAGAAAGTCAAAAGTTCTCTCAAACCTTCAAGTAGTTCAAAAAATTGTCATTGATTTTAAGTCCTGAATCAAAAGTTCTCTCGGTATACCTATGTGATAATGTGCCTATGTACAAACCCACACGTGTGCACAAATATGTACTAATCCTGAAAATGAGATAGAAATGAACTACAAGAAAATGACCCCCAAATGCTGTAATTGTGACTTTCAAAAGTAGCATTGCAGCTGGGGAGTAGCTTTGTGTTCTATTTGTATCAAGATCACGTTTGGGAGGTTCTTTTTACTTGTAGGAGTGGAGGAGTTATGTCAAAAGGAAAAGGTAGATTGATTCGTGGTTCCTTAAATAGTTAGACTCTTTGGATTTGTAAAAGGGATTATGTCATAAGTAAAGATGCTGTTTTAGGACTGCTTTAGAAACTTTTTCAAGAAAAGAAGGGGAAAAATTCTCTACTAGGCATAAACGATGCCCACTTCGATATTTAGCCTTTGCTCCTTGGTGCCTGTAGGGGGAGCCCTTGATAGCAGAGTGCGGGAATCTGCTGCTTCTCCCATACAGGTGGAAAATAGTAAGGCACAGGACACGTTAGCAAAGTGAAGCTCCTGGAAATCCAGCCACTACCGAGGAACCTGGAGAGGAATAAGGGCAGAAATGCCCATTCCCACCAGATCTGTATGGAACTTGCCTGGAAAGCAGGATGGGAAATGTGAAGAGGCCTGTTTTCTGCCCTGCCATGTGCTAGCTGCCTGACCTTGGGCAAGTCGCTGCACCCCATCTCTAACTCTGTGTCCTTACTGAGTTGATAACGAGGCTAATGCTCGGGAAGGTATTTTCCAGGCTCTTCAGTGATCTGTAAACTGAGGTAATGTTTTTATTGTGCCTGTCTTAATTGACACCCTTTTCCTAGCACTCTGTTCTGACTTACCTGGCCAGTTGAGAAAACTTCAAGGGGATCTAGGGGCCCCTAAAATCCCATGTATGGATGACTTCTGTTTTTTTAGTTATAGAAAAAAAAATTTTTTTTTTTTAAACAGAGCCCCAAGCTGTTACCCTGGGTAGAGTGCCGTAGCATCACTGCTCACGGCAACCTCCAACTCCTGGACTTAAGCAATTCTCCTGCCTCCACCTCCCTGCTAGCTGGGACTACAAGCACCCACCACAACACCCGGCTATTTTTTATTGCAGCCGTCATTGTTGTTTGGTGGGCAGGCTGGATTCGAACCCGCCAGCTCAGGTGTATGTGGCTGGCACCTTAGCCACTTGAGCCATAGGCGCCGAGCCTATAGAAATATTTTATTTTTTTATAGAGATAAGAGTCTCACTTTATTGCCCTTGGTAGTGTGTTATGGCATCACACAGCTTACAGCAACCTCCAACTCCTGGGCTTAAGCAATTCTTTTGCCTCAGCCTCCTGAGTAGCTGGGACCACAGGCGCCCGCCACAATGTGCGGGTATTGTTTGTTGCAGTTTGGCTGGGCCGGGTTTGAACCCCCCGCCCTTGGTATAAGGGGCTGGTGCCCTACCCACTGAGCCACAGGTGCTGCCCTATAGAAATATTTTTTTAAAAGACTCTTTTCACCAAGATGTATGATGCTGTACTAAGGGAACTAGCACAAAGTGCTCTCCACTTAATAACACATGCCAAGGTGGGTTTCCTTTCTGGATTTTCACATGTCTAGTACCATGAACTGCCTTTGCTGCCCATGTGGGCAGCCACCAGCTCAGTCCCTTCCTCACACATGGTACTCGTTAGCACCCTGTCTCTTTTACCTCCTTTCCTTATTCTGGCCTAGGATTGCAGGAAAATCTCTGCTCCCCCCCCTTTTTTTATATAAGAAATTAAGATTTTAATCGTGATTTGAAGTTAAAGTAAGCTCTACTTTCATGACAGAGACCAGTCATAAGTTTTAAAGCCCAATTAAATAAAATAGGATGTTTGTGTTGTTAAAAATAAGTTTTCTGATAGGGAAGATAAGTCATGAAATGACTCTCTATAGCATCATTTCCCTTTATTTATTTTTATTTTTCTTTCTGAGACAGGGTCTTGCTCTGTTGCTCAGGCTGGAGTGCAGTGGTGGCATCATCATCACAGCTCACTGTAGCCTCCAACTCCTGGGCTCAAGTGACCTCAGCCTGCCAAAGTGCTGGGGTTATGGGCATGAGACACTGTGCCATCTCACTCTCACATTCTCCACCCCTTTTCTGCCTTTGTAGGTTCTAGGAGACGTCATTTACAGAGGACTCCAGCCCAGTGTACGTGGCTGTGAACAGCAAATGAGAGAAAAGCCTTTTCAATGTTCATAGTGGAAAAACTCAGTGATATACTCTGTATTTTTTGGTGGAGGGGTCCACTTGGCGTATGAACTCACACCACATGAACCAATCACATTTGAGTTGATGTGTATTTATGTTGTGATTACAGAAAAGGTAGGGTTGGATATAATATACTCAACACTGAAAAACTATATAATAATTCTTTACATTAATACAGACTTCACAGTTTACAAAGAATTTTAAGCATATTATCTCATTTGGTATCTCAGTAACATTATGGGTTAATGGAAGCTAAGTTGGGGCCTAACCACCATTTAGAAGAAGGGTCAGCAAACTATAGTCTAAAGGCCAAATCTGGACCATAGCCTGTTTTTGTACTGCCTGAGAACAAAGATTGGTCTTTATATTTTTAAACAATTCTAAACAAAAGAAGATAAAAAAGAAACAGAGAAAGCGTATGGCAGAGACTGGGCTGCAGGCTAAGCATGTTTACTAACTGACCCTTTACAGAAACACCCTTAACCCCCAATCCTTGATTTAGAACATTATTTCTCTCAAATGATGTTTCAAGTTCCAGAAAACTTAAGTTTTGGGGATTTCATATGTTTCTAAGTCAGGGACTATCTGTAGTTCGAAATAATTTATTTATGTAATCATATGAGAAAATTTCTAAATAGGATATGAATAGTTAAGAATGTATTATAATATCCCATTCATTTGTGGAGGGTATACAAACCCATGTTATACATATGTACATGTATAGAAAATTTCAAGGAAGATAATATGCTAACAGTTGTTACCT